AGAAGACCTCCAAGGTCCCTTCCAGCTCATTCTATTCTATTCTATTTTCATACTAAGAAATATTTTATTAGTTACATAAACATAGATGTAATCCATAGGAGATGATTGTTATTCATAATATTGTATATTTTTCCTTGGAATCATAAAAAGCCAGTGGGTTCATGAAACTATAGACATAGCACTGCATCTATTTAGCAGCTATGATCCTAGATATTTGTCAGCTATAATCAAGCTATCAAGCTATTCTGGAGAACAAATATGTCACTATCAGCACTTTGCACATATGGAAGAAATGTTGCTTAGAGCTTACAAATGCTGGAATGAACTTCTGCTTCCAAATTTCTTTACAATAAGCTTGCTTTTTAAAACACATACACACACACACACACACACACACACACACACACACACTCCAACAGTCACAAAACATGAAACAATCTTAAATCAAAAAGTTTTGTTCAGAACAGTTGGAGGCATATAGTAATAAACCTTTCTTTAATAACGTAGCTACATACACAATAGTTCAATAATACCCTGATAGTTGTTTTTAAAGTAAAATTGATTCCTTTAAGGTTCTTTTTAGAGTTTCTTAGTTGGAACTCAATATTATGGTTTGAATTCAGTACAGTTAAGTCTTCAAAATTGGAATAAGAATTTTCATTGCTAAGCGAGGTGGTCGTTAAGAGAGTCACACTCAATCTGACATCCATTTTGCTATGGTTGTTAGATGAATCATCTATTGTTAAGTGAATCACACAGTCATTAAATCTTGCTTGTCAGAAGCGGCTGGGAAGGTCACAAATGGTGATCAGGATACTGCAATAGTAAATACATGGCAGTTGCCAAATGCTGGAATTTTGATCATGTAACTCTGGGGATGCTGCAATGGTCATAAGTGTGAGATCTACTCATAAGTAACTTTTTTCTGTGCCATTGTAACTTCAAATGGTTACTAAATCTTTTGAGCCGGGGGTGACACAGTGATAAGTAGAATGCAATATATTGCAGCTAATTCTGCCAACTGCCAGCAGTTTGATCCTGATCAGCTCAAGGTTGACTCAGCCTTCCATCCTTCCAAGGTCAGTATAATGAGGACCCAGTTTGTTGGAGGCAATATGCTGACTCTGTAAACTGCTTAGAGAGGGCTGTAAAGCACTGTGAAGCAGTATATAAGTCTATTGCTATTGCTGAATGAATATTGTAAGCCAAGATCTGCCACTGTTATACTGTCTGATTGCTGGCAAAAAAGGAACAAAATTCTCTGCATAAAAAGTCTTCCCATAATCCTGTGAATCAATCTGAAGGTTCCCCTACAGTAGATTTATGGGGTGTTAGTGGCACATTTGGAAAAAAAAATCTGTTTAATCATATTAGGTGTAACAAAAGCCAAAGAAGAATCATGAAGGCATCTAGCAGCAGAAGATGTGTCTGCTCAAAAGAAAGTCCCAGGGATTTCAATAAATCTTACTTTTGCATAAATAGCAGAGCCCAATAAAACAATGTTTGGAACATCCCCTGCATTTTTCAAAGAAGCTGCCCAACCCAATACCTTCTATGGATTGGGCTCTCTTGCTTTACTCAGAGGTGGATTGCTCCCGGTTCCACGCTGTTCAGCCAAACTGGTAGTGGAATTCAGGCATGGGTTACAGAACCAGCAACCCAGACCTGCCACGCCCCGGAACCGGTTGCCTCACTGTTGCTGGGCTGCCACCATTTTGGTTTTTAGTGACTGGTTGCATGCAGTTCACTGTAAATTGTTCTGTACATGCGCGAAGAATAACTTACATTGAACAGTGCACATGCGGGTTGCGACCTGGTAGTAAAATCGGCAGCAACCCATCCCTGGCTTTACTGTAGAATTAATTTTCCCTGAAACCAGCTAGGTTTTCAGTACCATTGAAATGCTGCCATGTGAAGTAGTAAAAAGAAGTCACACCTGTTCAGACCAAAAGGCCAAGGATCCAGAGAGAGCTTCATGATTTCTGTATTTCCAAAGTTTCTGCCAGTCAGCTCTTTCTCAGAGGCCCTGGGATGCCAAAAAGCATACATGTAGCCTTCCACGGGGGGGGGGGGAATCCCCCTGTACTGTAACATTTGGCAAGCATAAGTAGAGCAAATAGAAAGTGAAAGAAGTAAAGGAAGGGTGGATGCTTTCTGTAGGATGTGGGGAAATTGGAGCTGTCTGACTCTGCCAAAAATGGCAGTGCAGGGTTGGGCTGGAAATGTTAGGCAGGTCAGCGAGAGGTCAACAATCTTAGTCCCCTCCCTCCTTCCCCAATGGAAGCTGGCTGAGATTTGAAAGTTGTCTCGCAGTAGAGAGAAAAACTACACCGGCCTATGATGTTCAATAGAAGAAGGAGCAGAACTTTGAAAAGAGACAGGTCATCATATGTTGTTTTGAACACGTTCCACATCTGGTCATCTTGTTTATCAGCTGCTGCTGCAGGTTTCAAGTCTGCTACTGAACTGCAAAGGCCCCACATTCTTCTTGGAAAGAGAAGACATTGAGAAAGAGGATCAAAAGCCCTTCAAAACTGGACTGAATTCTCCACAGAAGAGGAAGAAAATATTTCATTATCTNGGAAAAGCGCAGGATTTCCTGCCATTCGCGGGAGAGTCGGAGCGAGCGGAGCATGGGGAATTGGCCCGGGGGTCCCGCGCAGCCCGGCGCCCGCGGGCGCACCCTCTGCTCCCGGCACCGGCCCTCCACCTCGGAGGAGAGCGACCCCGGCGGCAAGAGCAGGTCAGGGGGGTGGGTGGGAAGAGAGGGGAAGGTGGGCTTTTCCCAGAATCGGGACCCCTGAAGAGGCTTTGAGTTTTGCTGGATGGAGGGACGTTCCCGCCCCCCGTCCCACTTTTGCAGGGGATCTCCCTTTGGGGAGGGGGCAGGGTTGCAGAAAAGCCCACCCGTGGAGTTACTTTGGGTGGGGGGGTCAGAGGGGGCTTTAAACCCACAAGGGGGAGGGGACAAGGAGCTGTGATCCCAGAGAGGGAGAGAGCGGGCATTAAATCTATGGGCAAAGGGAAGAGGGGGCTTCAAACCAACGAGGGGAGGGGGCTTTAAATCTGGGGGGGGTTAAACCCAGGGGAGGGACAGAGAAGCGGCTTGAACCCTGACACTGGGGAGGAGAGCGGGATTGAAACCCACGAGGCGAAAGGGGGTTTTCAACCCACAGGAAGGGCAGGGGGCTTGAAATCCCCCCCGACGGGGGGGGGGGCTCAAAGGGGCCTTGAGAGCCCCCCAAAGGCTAAAATCAACCACGGTTGAACCCCAGCAAGGCTCGGACCTGCTTGGGAATGCCCCACCCTCCCCTGAACTCACCCCACCTACTTAGAAGGTGCATTGGACAGCCCAGGCACGGGTGGGTCCCCCACCTCCGCTCCCACCCCCCGAAATTCCCCTGCAAGGAGGTCTCGATCCCCGGACTCTTCGTCCTCCTCCTCCTGCCACCCCGCCCCCGCCCCCCGCGGACCCTGTTTCCTCTGGTGCTGACCCCAGGGAAGACTTCCTGGCAAGCATATTGTGGGGAGGGGGCTGAAAGGAGGAAGGGGTTGCCCAGGAGTGCTGGCTGCGGTGGGGAAGGGTCCACGAACTCCCCCCCTCCGAACAGGGTGGGGTCAGGGCAGGGAGGACCCCTGCTCCTCGGCCCTCAGGCCCAGCCACTTGTCAGAGTGGCAGCCCCTTCCTCACTTTGAAACCCAGGATGAAGACCCGCTCCCTTTGGAAGGGGCCTTGGAGGTCATCCAGTCCAGCCCCCTGCTCCAGCGGAAGACCCTCGCAGAATCCCAGAACACCAGTTCCTTTAGCGAGCGTTCAAAGTTACCACGGGGGGGGGGGGCTTAAGACCACCGGAGAGACTGCCCATCCCTGGGAGGTGCCCAAAGCCCCCCCTGGGAAGAGCAAATGCCCCCTATTGGTGGTCTCCTTGAGTAGGGCTCTCTGTGCCCAGGGCATCTTTGGGGGGGACTGCTGAAACTTCAGCCCCCTCCCTCGCCTTGTCCCAGCCTGGTCCCATGCCCCGATGCCAGCCTTGGCGTAGGCAGGGCAATGCTGGCACCTCCGTCCATTGGGATGCCAGAGGGCTGGGCAGGATGAGTCTTTGGGGGGGGCATCTTCTGGGTCTCCAGCTCTCTCCCTCACCTCATCCCAGCCTGGCACAATGCCAGTCTTTAAAATGGCATGAACTGGGCACTGCTCAATGCCCCATCCACTGAGTTTCCAGGGGGCTTGGCAGAGTGGCAGCCAGCTGGGGTCTCTGTGGGGGTCTCCGTTGTCCAAATGCACCTTTGGGGGCCCCTCCACCTCCTCCACCCATCATGCCACCATACCCTGATGCCAGCCCTGGAGACGGTACGGATGTTTCCTGCTGGCACCTCCACCCATTGGGATGGTGGGCAGATTGACAGCCAGCCCGGGGTTCCTTGGGGTCCCCTTTGCCCAAATGCCCCTTTGGGGGACCCCCTATCACCTCATCCCAGCCTAGCAACATGACCTGATGCCAGCCCTAGAGATGGCATGGGTAGGGCACCATCCATTGGTCTGCCAGGGAGATGGGCAGGGTGCCAGCCAGCTGGGGGCTTCTTGGGGGCCTCAGATGTCCAAATGCACCATTGCCCCCCCCTATCACATCACAAGCTGGCACCATGCCCCAATGCCAGTCATTTAGAAGGCATGGGCAGGGCACCATCCATTATTCTGCCCAGGGGGCATCTTCCTTCCTCTCATTTGGGGGGAATCTCTCTGTACCTACCTCCCCTCCCTCTCTCTCCTCCCCCCTCCCTACAGCTTGCCAGCTGAACGCCCTGCCGACCCTCCCCGCTACGCCCGGATCAAGAACTGGCAGACGGGCACAATTCTGTACGACACGCTCAGCGCCCAAGCCAGGCAGGTGAGGATACCCGCGACGGTGGGGAGGGACATTGGCAGTGGAGAGGGGGAAATGGGGGAGGCTTTCTGGACTCCCCTGCCCTCTTGCCCGCCACAGAGATGCCCCTTTTGCCCCTTCCAGGAGGTGCCATGCAGTTCCAGACGCTGCCTGGGCTCTGCCATGCTCCCGAAACAGATGCTGTCCGGGCCAGACGGTGCCCGCTCGGAGGAAGAGCTGCTGCCCATGGCCCGGGATTTCATCACCCTCTACTACAGCTCCATGAAGCGGTAAGTCCTGGGCAGCCCCGAAAATGGGCACCCTTCACCTTTGCCCAGAACTCTCCACCATCCTCACCTCCCAGGTTGCAGCTTCGCCCACAGAAATAGGGGGGGGGGGCTCAGGAGGGAAGGCCGGTGCCAATGGGGCGTCTGGATCCAGGCAGCCCATTTTCTCAAAGGGCACCTCATTCTCTCTCCATGCAGGCTGGCAGTCTGGACGCTGGCACCCCACTTTCCCAGGGGGTACCCCGTCCTCTTTCCATGCCCACCAGCCTAGGCCCTGGCACTCCACTTTCCGAAGGGGTGCCAGGATCTCTGCAACCCGCCCTGATCCACCAGGCTTTCGGGGTGCCAAGCGGGCACCCAGAAGGAAGCAAGGGAAAAAGTTTGTAAAATCAGAGCCTCCGGCTGTTCCCCATTAGGGTCCCGACTGTCAGACAAGCCCCCTTCCCCAATTCCTGTGAACCAAGGGGGCAGAGAGACCCCTTGGGTGTGTGGGGGGTCTTCTGTCATTCTGGACCCCCTTCCCACCGGGCCCCTGCCTGGCACAGGAAGCCTGCTGCTCCTGTTTGTGCCGGACGCCTTATCGGAGCTCCTTCCTCTCCCAGCCTGGCCCAGCCCAGCGTCTCTTCCGGACCCCTCCCCACTCCTCCCAGCCTGGGACGTCCCGCTTGGGTCTCCCCCGCCCCCTGTAAAAACATCCCAGCCTGGAAAATCTTATCTGGCCAGGCATGGAAAGAGAAATAAATAATGAATGGGACACACCAAAGCCCATCGTCCCCGCCCTGACTTGTCCAAGTTTCAGGGAGGAGGGGGAGGGGAGGCCAAACTCTCCCCGCCAATCTCAGTTTTGGAAATCCCCCAAAGGGGGCCTGGCGTCGTCCCGCACGGCAGGGCTGTTTTCCTACACTAAGCCCCTCCCTTCAGGACAGGCCCCTCCCCTATTTCTCCCAGGAATGGCACAGCCCCCCCCTCCCGCTCTGTCAAGATCAGACACAGATGTTGATACAGGGAGTCCTCGACTTACAATGGTTCGCTTAGTGACCAGACCACGGTGCTCTGGAAAAGAGACCCAGGATTGTTTTTCACACTTATGACCGTCGTCGCTTCCCCCCACGGTCGCGGGATTGACATTTGGACACTTCTGATTTGTGGCAGTTGTGACGTTCCGGGCATCAAATGGATCCCCATTAGCAGAGTCAACGGGGGAAGCCAGATTCATTTAACGACAGGGTGGCTGATTGAAGCACCGTGGGAATTAACAATGTTGGCAATCCTTAAATGGGGCAACACTCACTTTAGCAATGTCTCATTTAGCGACATAAATTTGGGGGCATAAGTTGAGGACTGCTTGTATGGACTCTTGCCGTGGAACGGGTTGGACTGGATGACCTCTGAGGTCCCTTTCAACCCTATGATTTTAGGAGAGGAAGGGGTCTCTGAGCCCTTGGCGAATCGTACAATTTCAGTCGCAAATCGAGAACTATCTATGAGAACTCCTTCCTTGGGCAGGGGGTGGACTGGATGACCTCTGAGGTCCCGTTCAGCTCTATGATTTCAGGCAGAGGGGGGGTCCCAGCAACCTGTTAGCCATGATTCCTGGCTTACAAAAACCACCTGGCTTGGCCTAGCAGTTTGAGATCCCTGTGACCAGGGATAAAAGCTAGTCCTTGACTTACGACAGTTCACTTAGTGACCGTTCTGACGCTTTAGAACAGTACCTACGACAGTGGCAGCATCCCTGCAGTCGTGGGATCAAAATTCACTTAACAACTTAACAACTGCAGCGATGCACTTAAGAAACCTGGCGCATGAGGTCGTAAAGGGGGGGGGAACGAAGCTCCCTTCACAAATGTCTCACTCGGCAACCAAAGTTTTGGGTTCGATTGTGGTCATATGGCGAGGACTACCTATTTGCAACCGGGGCTCATACGTGTGAGTGTTGCACAGCCCCATGGTTCCACTCGCGTGAACATCGCAGGGGCTCACGGTGACACACGCGTGCGTGTTGTGGGGGCTCACAGTCTCACTCGTGCAAGGAAGCGGCGCTCACACAAATCCATCCCCCCCTTTCCCCTGCTGCAAACCGCCAACCCGGAAAGGGTTGGGAACTGTATTCGAGTCCCCCCCTGCAGGAATCCTCAGTGTCTGCCCCCCCCGCAGCGACTGGCTGCCCAAGTTTTCTTCGATGCCGACAAGCATCATTGTGGTCATAAGTTGAAGACTCCCTGTAGAGGCTGGTGGGTGGGCACTATCGTTTCAGCTGCTTTCCCGGCCTGGTTGGGCATCTACCCAGCTGCATGGAGGGGGTGTCCTTGGACTCCCCCTGCCCGCCTGCCAGGGGTGACAGAAGGCGTTGGCATCTTTAGCTCGGAAACCGGGAAAGAGGCAGCCAGCCGGATTCTCTTCCAACCGGAAGACGGCGGTTGCCTCGAGCCGAGGATGCAGAGAAACACCGTACGGAAACCCCTCTGGTCCTTTCTTTTCTCCCCAGGGCCGAGTCCCAGGCCCACCACCAACGTCTCCAGGAGGTGGAGCAACAGATCGCCACCACCGGCACTTACCAGCTGCTGGAGGCCGAGCTGGTCTTCGGTGCCAAGCACGCCTGGCGCAATGCCGCACGCTGTCTGGGCCGCATCCAGTGGAACAAGCTGCAGGTTCATCGGGAGTGGCGGGATTGAAATCATTCGCCTTGCTGGGCTCCCATGGGCAGAACCCACCCACCCATGGGAAGACGGGGGTCCGTGATAAAGGCTCCCCTATTCCAGCTGGCAAGGGGGTACCAGGCTGAAGGTCTCTGTCTGGATCCGTCTCTCAGGGTTCCCCACTTGCAGCCCCTCCTCTACGGGGAACTTTGGTCCACCGGGTGCCTACCGGCGGGGAAAAAGATGGGCATCCCTGCTCCCCGTTTGACTCTCCTTCCCACTAGGTCTTTGACGCTCGGGACATCACCAGTGCCCAGGAGATGTACACCTTCCTCTGCACCCACATCAACTACGCCACTAACCGCGGGAACCTCCGGTGAGCCCTGCGGGCACAGACTGAAGGTTGCGGCGGAAGGGCCCTCTGGCAAACGCTGATGATTCTCCCTCACTTCCTTCTCGCCAGGTCGGCCATCACCATCTTTCCCCCGCGGGTGGCAGGACGTGGGGACTTCCGCATCTGGAACCAGCAGCTCATCCGTTATGCCGGGTACAATCAGCCCGACGGCTCCGTCCTGGGAGATCCGGCCAACGTGGAGCTCACCGAGGTGAGCAGGGCAGGTCGTCCTCAACCTACGACCAAAAGGAAGCCTAATTTTTCTGTTGCTAAGTGAAACAGTTGTTCAGTCCCTTTTCACGACCTTTCTTGCCACGGTTGTTCAGTGAATCACTGCCATTAAGGGAGTCGCATGGCTGTTAAGTGAATCTAGCTTCTGCCCTGATTTGTCGGAAGGTCCCAAAACGGGATCATGTGACCCCGAGACATTGCAACCGTCATAAATACGAGTCAATTCTCAGTGTATGAATTTGGATCACATGACCACACAGATGTTACAATGGCCATCAAGTGTG